CATACACACGACACACTGACTAAAATTTAAAAAGTGAAAAAGCATAATAGGACCCCTTTAAGGAAACTTTTGGCCTGTCTCCTGAGGCCACAGGAGGGCGCAATGAGCAATATAAAGCAACTCGTTAAATTGCTTATTCAATGCAATGAAATAACGATAAAAAGTGCATACCGTCTAAACTAATATTTATAAATCAAATATCATTTCGTATATTGTATAATTATGAACAAAACAGCATTATGTATTTATGCATAGCTTAATACAAATAGCCAAAGCACCGATCACACGATTGCATGTAAAACATATGAGACGCAGTGGAATGGAATAAAACCCCCACAAATTATCGAGATATGTTTTCTAAAAGTTGAACCTCCTTTAACTTTACATGGCTTTCTGTTCATCCCTTGTGCGAGACGCAAGTGCAACAGTCATAGTTATGCGTCTCAAGAACAGGCCGAATATGTGTTCTGTGTGAATGGCTTGGTTTCAGTTTTAACCTAAACAATATCTTCTCCGCATTGAGCTTCTATATTTCTCTAATATTTTGAATGAAAAATGCAGCAGCGGCGCATCTTGTGGGCTCAATCTTGTGGGTTCAACAAAAACATTAAAATGCAACAACGACACTTACATCATCCTCACCGCATCTCGTGCGCCACTGATAAGGCTCCCTGACGCACACCTAAAATTCAAATACACCGTTTTTGCATTCGAATGCGAATTTATTTTAAATTCGACTAATATTCCTTTTTTGATTCACAGTCTCCTCATCGCAGGCAGGCACGGTGTCCTGACATTTTATCCTACCCGTCAGATTCTCTGTTGGCTGCCTGCTTGTTACTCATAACACGCGCCTTTAAATGAAAAAAGCGTGAAACTATCGTGCGATATATCGAACATTTTTTCTATGATGGTGTACCGTCGATAAATATCGATACTTTTTTATCGCCCAGGCCTACATGCTGCTAAGTATTTTTGAGGGAAAATGTAGGAAAAAGATTTGTATGCCTCTTTCACACATAATGCACACACGCTCGTGTTGTTTTGCGCAAATGTAGTTTTAAATTATTGAGTAGCCATCTGTGCTAATGTATATCTGAAGATCCTGTCAGGAGATAAAAATGGAAGCCAAGAATCTTCTCTAACTATTTTCTGCTGTTTCATGCCTCAGGCTAAGGATGGAGGTTATGAGAATGAGAATTTCTACCCCAACATGGAGCTGAATTTCCTGGAGATCCCAAACATTCATGTTATGAGAGAGTCTCTGCGTAAGCTGAAGGAGGTGGTCTACCCTACCATGGACGAGCCCCACTGGCATTCCGCCATAGATGCCACACACTGGCTGGAGTACATACGAGTAAACACCAACTCTAATCTTTATTCCTACAATATGAATTAATAGTGGACATTTTTGTTCTCCTACTCGCCTTTATAAGCATATGTTTGAAACCTCTACGTGAGTATATGATTTAGTCATATACAGAGTGGCTGCAAAAAGCATTTAGCCACTCTTAGAAATATATGAATTTCAATGTTAGAAAACATCAATTGGCATTAGCAAAGAAATGGTGCCAGACTTTTTTTAAGAACTAAGAAATTTCCTTTGATGAGCCCTTTTTACCAACTTGCCCCAAGAAACAGGATTTAGTGGATGTAGTCAGTTCCCCATAAGTCTGAATCAGAAAGTAAAGCCAGGTGCACACTTTTACAATTGTTGCTTGTCAGACTATACGCACATGATCCCAGCTATAAGCCGTGTCACATTGAGGGATCTCAGCTGTCATTAATGTCAGACTGTACAATGTTCAAGATTCACTAAAAATGGAGTGTCCAGAGTTTTACATCATCAATCTGTGACACGTTCTGTGATGGTGAGCCGCATTCACACATGGAATTTAAATGGTGACAATCAAACAAAAGCAGTCTCTAGCTTTAATTTTGATCATGGCTTGCCTTGAATAGAAAAAAAAAAACATGTGTGTGGAGTAAGTGCTAGTTTGTTGTTGCATTAATAAGGTCATCAGGTTCAATTTCATCTTAACCTCCTGGGGTCGACGGTGGCGCCGGCGCCACCACGTGCATGTTTTACTGATAAGAGCAAAAAGAACTTTAAATGCTCGTTCATTTTTGTTTGTACACATAAGAGTAATACACCATTCGAATCTGTAAAGGGTCTACTTTTATTTGTGTACACTCACAATATCAACAAAACATTGTGCTTTTGCAAAATAAAGAAAATATACAGGGTTTCTCAAAAACACAATCACGTACATACATGCTACTCACATATTATTGTAGCCCAGTTTGTGCTGATTACAGTGTTATTAAACTTTAGACATTCAAATGTTTGTAAGCAACTGAAAAAAGCACAAATGTCAGGGCATGTCAAAACTTTTCCAGGCCCCAAAACACCCTCGACCCCAGAGGGTTAATGGTCATCGGCTGTCGGTGAACATGATAAACTAGCGATCAAATTGCGAGATTTGTCTCAGATGGCCGAATCATGGCATACAGTGTGCACCCAGTTTAAAACGATTAGATGCTTTTAAAGGAATCAACTCTCTCTCTCTTTCTAGCTGTTGCTTGCTGGTGCGGTGAAGATTGCAGATAAGGTTGAGTCGAGTAAGAGCTCTGTGGTGGTGCACTGCAGTGACGGCTGGGACCGCACAGCTCAGCTCACCTCTCTGGCCATGCTGATGCTGGATTCATACTACAGGACTCTCAGGGGCTTCCAGGTGCTGCTGGAGAAGGAATGGATCAGCTTCGGACACAAGTTTGCTGCGGTGAGGGAACCTGAGTGTGAAAGAGACTCTATATGGGGTATAAAACTGAATTCAGCCAGTCAGGCGGGCATGTTATTGAGTGTTATCAGTGTTGGAAATAGTATAAAAGAAGGAAATGATCAGCCCGTTTCTCAGAGAAGGGACAGAGAGGTGTGGAATAAAGGTAAATTATGTGAAAAATAATGCGTTTTTTAAAAAACGAAGCATTAACATGTTAGACTGCACCCCATAAACACAATCAAGCCTAGAAAAAACCCAGTGAACCACCCCTTTAAAATGTTATGTTTGTGTTAAATGGATACTGATGTTTTGGAACTCACTATGAATGTCTTTATAATGTGTTCTCAGTTTCCCACTGCCTTTGAGTTTAATGAGCTCTTCCTCATCACCATCCTGGATCACCTCTACAGCTGCCTGTTTGGTACATTCCTTTACAACAGTGAACAAGAGCGAGTGGAAAAGGCATGTACCACTGTGTCAACCCTGGGATGGATTAGTAGTAGTTTTGATGGACCAATGCTGAAATTTTCAAATCTTTCTTCTGTTTTTAGGAAGTGAACAGTAAAACGGTGTCTTTGTGGTCCTACATCAATAGCCAGCCAGAGGACTTCACCAACCCCTTTTATGTAAACTATGAAAACCATGTTCTGTACCCTCTGGCCAGTCTCAGACATTTGGAGCTCTGGGTTGGATACTACGTACGCTGGAACCCCCGCATGAGACCACAGGTGCACAATGTTCTCAACACATTAGCAAAGCTTAAACAATGCATGTAAACAATTAGTAGAATCACATGATTGCTAGTTTACTAAAACTAGAGCTTTTCTAACAGACACCAGCTCTCTGAGGAAACTGAAATGTGGTTTGTGTATTCTCTTTTGATCAGATGCCTGTGCATCAGAACCTGAAGGAGCTGCTGTATCTGCGTGCAGAGCTACAGAGGAAGGTGGAGGAGTTACAGAAAGAAGCATCTTCATCACGCTCGATCTCCTCTTCATCAGAGCATGCATATTCTCCATCACATGGCGGTATACCTCTACACACCTCTGTGTAAAGCACGTGCAATGCTCGCATTAGAGAATTCATCATTCACAGAAAGTGTAGAAGAAATCTGTAGGTTACAGTAAACATAGTAATGTGAAGTCTAAATCTATTGTTCGTTTCTCTCTGGATAATGCCTCAGGCAGGATATATGGAGGCCCAGCACATACACATGTGAAAACGTGCATGAACACCCAAAAAGAGGACAGTCTCCCACACAATTCAGGTTCATTTTGGTTGTTTGGAAGTGCTCTCATAGACTTCCTTCTGATCAGATAACCAAGAAAGCTTTTGATCGTGATTGAGGTTATGAAAAATAGGCCGGGATTTTAACTTGACTTGTAATTATTGACATAAGTTTTAATAATTTATTTGTATGTAGTCAAAATAATATGATTATCTTTTTGTGTTTTAATCACAGCATTTCTGTGACATTGTGCTTTTTCTGTTGTTTTTGTGTAATAGTTTTTCTTCACTGCCTCAGCATTGCCTGCCTTTGTGCCAATACCAAGTTCAACCTTTTAACTTTTCACATCACTTTTAGTTCTTTATAAAATCTTACATGAGCATCTCGTTCCTCTACCTGTGATTTTACTAGATAAATTTTTATATATAAGGAATGGGGATTTGAATATTGCTGTTGCGATACTGCCATTTTGGAACCACATACTGCATTTGTCTTTGTTTTTCTGTTGCACTTGTTAGTATGAAAGTGGAATTAGGTTTTAATGTGCACACCCTATTACTGCACTACTACTGTACTTTCATGTACTACTGAAATCTGTTTACACAAGGTAAATATGGACCATATATATCAAACCCATGTTTGATTAAACAAAGAAAAGTTATCGGTGAATCGCTCCCATGTTTATGTTGTTACTATTTAATTGTAATCATGGGTGTTTTGACTTTACAAATGGCCAACAGTTCAGATCATTTGAACAAGGGATGCCATATAATGTTTGAAAAAATAACAATTACATGTAATAATTATAATGCACCTTTAAAAAAAAAAAGAATATATTGTTTTATTTTAGTTTTTTTCTTTTATGAGTGTATTTTTGTTTTTGTGCAACCCTGGTTATTCTTTGTACATGCAAATTTGTTTACTTCTGTTAAAAAAAATTGACTCCAGAAACTTGCAACCAGACTTGAAGAAAAATAAATAGGAAAGAATCAAAGACAAGATAAATAGTTTATTATTGGGTTTCTGTATGCTGATTTTTTTTTTTTTACCACCAAGTATAACAAGTGAGATACAGAGTGAAATTTGAGTACATTTGAATATTAAAATGTCTAGAAGAGGATTGCCAGTTGATACCTGTGTAATTAATTGTGTTTTCATCACAGTCTGTATTTGAGTGAGCAGGCACTGATAAAAACTGTGAGGTTTAATTCTGAAAGTCAATATTTCTGAGGTTTACGTCAAAGCAGAATTTTAGTTCATTCAATGACAGATAAACCTATGGCTTTACAGTCTAATCTGTGGCAGTACCATGATGCAAGAACTAAACTGGCAGTGCAAATCAAGACATTTCAGAAACTATCATCCCAATAACAAATTTCTCAAGTTCATAAATAAACCCAGTACACAAGAAAAACCTTTAATATCTACAGCTAGAATCTGAAACATGCATATCAGTACAGTTCGGCGTGTACACCCTTGTTTTGACAAAATTGCAACTATACTGGCCAAACGACACCAGAGAGCCCAGAGATCCTTACAAATGCAACATCCACCATACGAACTACTAGTGCCCAGAAATGTAGATGGTCAATTGAAGGAATTAGGGAGGTTTTAACAGATACATAATGCACCCAAGCAATAAATCTGGAAGCAGTTCATCACAAACAGGTGATAATGTTGTCGAAAATGTTCAAGACACTTGTGAATTTCCACATTTGCCTTAACCGAGACTGTTGTATCTTTCACTCAGCTGTTTCAAATTCATTCCACTGGATCACTAGACTCACACCAAAGTCAAAGAACATGCAAAAAGGCAAAACCCATCACATTTCATCTTTGGTGTTCTTCATTTCTTACAAGTGTAGCACCAAAAAAGCTACATTGTTCTGGTAGCCAAAGCAGTAAAAAGAGTTACATTCAGCTAACATTCTCTTTGTTGGTTTTCACCCTAGATACTGTACAAAAGCCTTTAAGGGAAAGTACCAGGCAACATTCTGTGCCGATATGTCTTTGACATCGTTACCATTCGCAAGACTTGTAAATCTGCTTTATCTTGGGCATGCGAGTTAACAATATTTCAGATCAGTTCAATCTGCAATAGAGTGTTACGGTGAGGTCACATTTACTGGAACTTTTTTGTGGTCGAAATTTCAATAAGAATCCATGTGATCAGGAATTTTGCGCGAGGGCAACATTTTGTTCGGATGCAGAATTCGCAGTTTGTCACACAAATTAACAGAAAGCTGCGTGGTTTGAAAGTGATCTGCGTGATCAATCAGCCTTTGACGGTGGACATTTTTGGCCACAAATTTCGGTGAATGTGACCACACCTTTAAACTGGAACAACGTACATAACCTAGTACGTCTAGTTTGTAGACATTCAAGTGAGGCAGCCCTTCTAACGGTCGTGACTGTTAGTGCTGTGTTAGTAAACTAGCGTGTCTTCCCTAATGTTAGCGTGGTAAGGCATTGGGAAGGAAAGCACCATTGGCAAGGGCTTGGGTTAGGGGGAAACAAAGGTGCACCTGAATTCACAGTGAAAAACAACAGCTACAGGAAAATCTGGAGCATCTCAACTGGGCCAGAGGATGGTAAGGACTGTGCTGCTCTTTAATCCAGTTTTGCTAACTCTACTTACTTCTAGATGGTGACCTTCCAAATCAGAAGAAATGAAGGGTCTAGTCAAGCTCTGTGGCACCAACGCAGGAACCTTGGCTAACGAAGAGGGAAAATTAGCAAAACAGGAAAGCAGCTAGGGACTCATTAAGGCAATAGCACAACTAGCGAGGGTGTAACAGGTCTCTAAAAAGTCTGAAAGCTAAAGCTGAAACATGCTACAAACGATACAAACACTAAGCTAGGGCGAAAAACTACTCCCCGTAATCCAAAAAGAGTGGGGGGCACAAACATTTATGTACATTTACTGCTACAAGTGTAAATAGAGATACACTGATACAACGGTTTGAGTACAAACTTGGAAACGGTATGCAATATACAAGCACATTAACCCCTTAAAACCCCACAAAAGGCAATGGATCAGAATTAGCGATAGGAAGAGTTACTACACTGCTTAACATGTGCTAACATGAAAACACAACTTCGGTTACGAGTTACTTCACGCTAATGTATCTACTCATTCTGATCTCGCCGAATCAAACTATTCCTCAAAATAAGGAATCGGAACCACTGACATCCAACTAACACACACAAAAGCAGTCAACACGGCTTCTTCATCAACACACGTCACATCTTCACAGTTATACCCATTTTAGTCATCGTTTCGTTTTTTTAAAAAGCAAATTAGAAGGAAGCAGCTGTTGGTTAGTTTTTGACTTCAGTTGTTCGTCGTTTTTTTCCCCTCAAAAAGACATTAGTAAAAAGTTATCTAAGACACAAAAACCTGCATATATGTGTAACAATCTTCACGTTGCTCTGTGAAAGCAAGGCAAATATATACAGATCATGTTAAAACAACAACAACATCCTTCAAGAATCCTTCATCTTTTTTTTCAATTGCAGATTCCACAACAATGGATCTTGTTAAGCCTGTCTTGCCGTTAAAAAGTAAGGAAAACAGTCTTGACCTTTAAAAGCATATTTCTATGATTATCCAATCAGATGTTTTTGTAAACCTTGGATTAATCACTTGTATCACTGTTCATTAATATGCATTTGTGCACAATAGGAATGAGCAGCTAAATTGACAAACAAAAAGACTGTAGCGCAGTATGTGTGGGACTCTTTGTATGGGCCTCTGTAAAAAGACCCAAGTGAGATTTCTTGGGTCTCAGCAGATTATGCTAAAATTCATTATTAGGTGTTTTCCAATTCATAGCAATATTATTGCAAACAGGCTTACTGCATTGTTGCATGTGAACAGTTAAAATAGAATTTAATTAAAAATGATTACACTATGTTTAAGGTTGATTTAAACAGTCACATTGGTACTTCAAAAAGGGAGTTGTGGTGTAAATGTGCCAGGAAATACAGTGGCATTCAAATGGGAGAACAATGATTTAGAACTGCGCCCTCTTCAGTTTGGATGATGCATTTCAGATTACACCGCATTTTCCTCTGTTGGCGGCTCAGCGTTGGGAGGCTGGAGAAGAGTTTGTTGAACTGCAGTAGGAAGGAAAATAATGCAATTATTATTAATCATTCTATCAAGTATACTGTATATATATAAATATAAACAGATCACAACTTCAGGACTAAATTGAAGGTGCAGTAAGTGCAATTCAAGAAAGTAATTTTTTTTTAGCGAATAGGGTACTTATACAACGGCATCTGTAACCGACGCTTTTGCATCATGCTACATCCTCGCCAGAAAGTGACAATCTAAGGCCACAATTGTTTAGAAAAATGAACATAATGAATTAAAAAAAAAAATTGAAACAAATTATAAAAATCACCACTGGCAAAAATAAAACCTGTCTGCCTATGCAGTAGAAACAATTCTTTTTCTTTCTTTTTTTTTTAAATCGGTGCTAGACGACTAGAAAAAAAACCATAATGCATTGGGCTCGATACAAAAATGCGGAAGTATGGGTTGGCAGACTTTTGCTGACAAATAAACTCTGATATCTTGGTGCAAGTAACAAGGAAAAAGAATACACATTGGTTATTACTTACACCACCAACATTGTAACAATACAAAGTTAAACATCTTTGAATTTAGCCTTTAAATATCACCCAAAAATGTTAAATGAAGACATTTACCTCATAAATTCAACATAAACGGGGTCAATACCTTGTGGCTCCTGTGCAACTACAGCATCTGGGGCATCTGCTTTCACCATATCTGCATTCAGACTCTCTGTGGAGAGATAAAGCACATGATAATGAATGAATTGAAAAACACAAGCCGCGTGGTACAATTACAAAGAAAATGTGTTTGTCTTTACGCTGTATGCTGAAGCACAACTTCTTCTTCTGGTACGAGATGTAACCGCTCACTGCACCGGCCAGAGCCATAGCAATAGCGCTCACAATACCAGCAATGGTTCCAGTCTCAGCCATGGTGTCTATGAATGAACACATAGGCCACTATTTAAAGATTTAACTGGACCAAATTAGCAAATGCTATACAGGATGTTCTTCTAATAGCCCTAAATAGGCTACTACTTAACACAATCATACCGTAGTTGTCATCAGCATGATCCAAACCACTGCCACTATGTCCGCCACTACTTCCACCTCTTCCACCTGTGGAAATATGAACACTTCAAATGACATTCCTACAGTTGGCCAATTATTGTTTATTTTATTTGACATGTCGCACAATGTGAGGATCTGTCAGGCAGTTTCAGTTTGTCACCTTTGCCTTTGTCGGGTTTGTAGGAGTTATCATTGCCCACATCTGCAAGGTCTGCATCTGAGAATTCACTACCTGAGAAGTTGGAAAAGACCATTAGCCTGGGGAAAAGTACATGAAAAGTACTCATGCATGGCCCAGGCTTGGGTTTACTAATCCTATCAGCTTTGAATCAGAGACCCAAGTGATCTAAAGAACTAAGGTGAAGCTTTTGTGACCCCAAAAGAGGAAAAGCCCAGTACTCCAACACTGCAGGAAACAGAAAGCTGAGCTGCCGACTAGGGCTGGGCCAAAAAAATTGTTCGATTTAATTTTGATTCTCGAGATGAATCGAACTTTTTCTGTGTTTATTTCCGCAAAAAGTTTAATATAATATACTTCCGGTTTTAAATTAATTAACGTGAATCCTATTATTACCAGTATTTTCCTCTAGATGGCGCTCTCGTTTACCTTACACTCTTGACTTGCAGCTCAACGCAAATAAAGAGCAGGAGGGAACCGATTATCTCTTCCACTTTACTAAAAATTACAGCACGAAATGAACACGAATTGACATCAAAAGGTATGGTGAGAAAGACAGTACAACTTACTGAAATGTATCATGTTTCAAGACGTCATTGAAACTCTGGAAAGCAATTTAATATCCATAGCGTGTTATTTAGCAAGAAATAACTACTTTTGATAAATAAATGCACTATATTAATATTCATTATATTTTACTTAACCCATTCCTTATGTCGCAATTATGCAATGGACATTTGAATAAATCTGTCATGAAAAACGTTTTCATGACAAAAGCCACCGTTTTAATGATGATTATATATCGATAACCAAATTAGAAAGCAGAGACATCCCTTGTTTTTTTTTTAAATGTTTTTTTTTCAAAGCAAATGAAAACTGATGACGATTATTATTATTATTGATTACTATATCTAAAAATAAATAGCAATTTAATTTAATCTCTGTTGTTAAATATAATAGTAAAGTACCAGGTAAAGGGTTCCCTGTATATTTCACAGAGATCATTTTTTTCCTTAAAGGGGTCATATGATGTTGCTAAAAAGAACATTATTTTGTGTATTTGGTGTAATGAAATGTGTTTATGCAGTTTAAGGTTAAAAAAACATTATTTTCCACATACTGTACATTATTGTTTCTCCTCTATGCCCCGCCTTTCTGAAACACGTCGATTTTTACAAAGCTCATCGGTCTGAAAAGCGAGGTGTGC